TAGTTTAGGTGAAAATGTCGAAGGAGCAACCTTACATTTTTATGCGGACGATACCGTTATGTACTGTGCAGGTCCCTCGATTAACGAGGCTGTTGTTAAATTACAGGCTGTTTTTAACATTATTCAGACTCAGCTCTCTGAACTAAAGCTTCTTTTAAATGTGGATAAAACCAAGGTAATGCTCTTTTCTAAAGCTAAAGCTAAAAATACACCAGAGACTGCTTTGGATATTGTAACTACGCAAGAAATACAACTTGAAGTGGTTACCTGTTACAAATACTTGGGTATCTGGCTTGATGACTGTCTCACTTTTAAACTTCATGTCAATAACCTGCTTAAAAAGCTGAGGGTTAGGCTAGGTTTCTTTTACCGAAATAAGTCCTGTTTCTCGCTTGAGGCCAGGAAAAGGCTAGTCACTGTGACCTTTTTACCTGTGCTGGATTATGGTGATTTGTTATATATGAATGCACCTGCCAATTACCTGAGCAAGTTAGATGCTGCGTATCACAGTGCACTGAGATTTTTGACAAATTGTAAAGCACTTACGCATCACTGTACCCTGTATACCAAGGCGGTTATGCCATCACTTACTGTACGGAGGCTCAGTCACTGGTACTTTTTCATTTACAAAACCATGTTGGATAAACTACCATCTTATATCTGCTCCCTGATCTCTCTGCGAATTGAAAGTAATTATTGCCTGAGATCGCATGCTGTGGTTTTATTAAATGTGCCAAGTGCTAGGACTGTCTTAGGGAAGAAAGCTTTTAGATGTGCAGCTCCACTAACATGGAACAGTCTGCAAAAAGAATGGAAAATTACCAAGCTAGTACCACTACATGTTTTTAAAGCTCGGTTGGATGCTACAAAATCAGATGTTGTTGGTACCTGTACTTGTGGTTAAATATGTAAATTGTAATCCCTGTACATTTTGCTGTATGATGTCCTTTTGTTGTTCATGTCTTCTTGTGGAACCTACTGCTGCAGGTCTCCCTTGAAAAAGAGATCATTGATCTCAATGGGATTTTACCTGGATAAATAAAGGTTTTGAATTTAATTGAATATGTATTATTGTGGAATACATTCATCAAATTTGATTTTGAGCGGCTTATGTTTTTGTTGCAAAGTTACGTACCTGGGTCAGTGTGGTAGCAAAATAGCATGTGCACCTTACACATGGACCCTGCCCTTCTTATATGTTCACATGTGGAAATAAAACACTAATATAAATATAATGTCTTTGATAATTTATTTTAACTAAGTTCTAAATGTGTCTTCTGTTAAAGATGTTGAATTAAGACCAGAATTGAATAAATGAATACTTTATCTCTGATAGCATTATGTGAAATTATATCTGTAGCAATATTTTAAACTCTACTTGATTCTTATCAGTTAATTAGTTACACAAATACATTTAACTCTTCTATGGTTCTGGCAGAAACAGTTATTTCTGAAATGTGTTGGGAAACTTGGATGTATCCCTTTTAGTATGATAATTAGCCTGTTATCATTAGCCAGACAGCATTGTGTGACTTGTTGAACTGTTTTACCTGGCTGCATGGGTCGGTGTAGGTATTCCTTTTATTATGATAATAGGCAGCATTGTGTGACTTGTTGAACTGGTTTATGGGTTGCCAACTTTGGGTACCTGGCTAGAGTGAGATTTTGATATCAATTAATTACACATATGCGCACTAAATGACTGCTATCGTGTCAGTAGTGGGACCTTAGCATAGGATGTATATACAATATATACAAACAGGGGCGGACTGGCCATTGGGAATACCGGGAGTTTCCCCGGTGGGCCGGTGCTGTGTCCAAAAAAATAAATAAAGTTTATTTTAAAAAAAAGAATTTAAATCTTTTTTTTTTGCCTAAATCCTACCGGCCCACATTTGTAAGTGTTCCGGCCCAGCCCAGCCCAGTGGGGTGTGGCCAGGGTTGGGTTGTAACGGAATACATGTAACGGCGTTACGTAATCAGAATACAAAAATCAAGTAACTGTATTCAGCTCGCGTTATATTTGAAAAACGAGTAATCTGATTACAGTTACTTTCGTAAACCTGAAGTGAATACATTTTGGATTACTTATTGGAATTATTGGTGGTAAGATTTCCTCACAACATTTAATATTCATTACTAAAGGTACAGTCGAATCATCACAGCGCACAAAACCGCGCAGATGGACCAAAAAGGGGAGCGTTTGAAAAGAATGTGCGGGTCCGCTCAGTGAAACAATAACAATGTAACATGGAGGAACAAAAGTCTGCGTTTAAATCGTGTGTGTGTGTGTGTGTGTGTGTGTGTGTGTGTGTGTGTGTGTGTGTGTGTGTGTGTGTGTGTGTGTGTGTGTGTGTGTGTGTGTGTGTGTGTGTGTGTGTGTGTGTGTGTGTGTGTGTGTGTGTGTGTGTGTGTGTGTGTGTGTGTGTGTGTGTGTGTGTGTGTGTGTGTGTGTGTGTGTGTGTGTGTGTGTGTGTGTGTGTGTGTGTGTGTGTGTGTGTGTAGTGGTGTGTGAGGTTAAAACACATCAGCCACACCGCTCTTTAGCCTTTCTAATGTTTCTGAAGGTAAACACAGTGAAGGCGGTGCGTGAAAGGCACTAGGCGCTTTCACACTGCGGTACTTTTCCCACAAAGGTTCATGTGAACTTAGTTCATGTGAACTCTTTAGTTCGCATGAACTAAGTACAGATCGCGTTCACACTGGAAAAAGTCCCTGGGGGTGGATTAGGCAAATGAAGCCGCTGACGTCACTTGTTCTTCTTCTGCTTTGGGTTTACTGGCAGGCCGCAAACCACTTCACGGCGTATACTGCCGCCCAAAGTCCCCGGCCGGAAGTCCCCGGAGTTAGGGACTGGCTTCAGTAGAAGCTGCTGGGACTCCCAGCAGCTTCTACTGAAGCCTTCCGAGTAAATTGCTAGAACGCCGACACCTCCTCATCTCCACCGCTCCCATGTTTTATTTTGTGTTGCCATAAGTTAGTCTCTCTGCGTTTCTGCGCTGGGCTAATGCTAATGCTAATAATGCTAATGCGAGGATAATAAAATGGCGGCTTCACAAAACTTTTTGGGAGTTTTACGGGGCGTGGTTTGCAATCCGCCCAGCCAATCAGAAATATAGCTCTTTTCTCACAAAAGAGCCCCTCGAAAGTCCCTGCTCTCTAGCAGGGACTTTCGAGGGGGTAAAAAGGTTCACATGAACTAATTTTAGTACCGGCTCTTTTTGGTGTGAACGCGATAAAAGAGTTCACATGAACCTTTGTAGGAAAAGTACCGCAGTGTGAAAGCGCCTAGTGCCAACACTGGCAGGACAGAAGGCGACACGCCCTTTCTAAGCCATGTCCTCACATCCCAAGCTGCATCCCCAAAAAGTTGATTATGTTGTTACAACAGGGTTCAGGGGGAGTGGCTGTACGGCTGTACCCGTAAAATAGAAAAGGGGGAAGTGACGTCTGACTCAGAGGTCGCGCGGCTGTGGAGAAGAACGTGTTGCCCACATTCTGTTACTGAGTTTAGGCTAGTTAGCTAGCAGGTTTATTGTTTTCGGGTGCAGTCACTATATATGGCCTCCACTTGCTGTTCAAATAAAATGTATGAAAGAAAAAGTTAATCTGTTTTACAGTTTCTGGTTTTATATGGGTGTGTTTGAGAAGAAGAAGAAGAAGAAGAAGAAGAAAGAGAAGAGAAAAGACGAAGAAGGAAGAAGAAGAAGAGAAGAAGAAGAAGAAGAAGAAAGAAGAGGATAGCCAGAAGAATAATCATCAAGAAGAGAAAAAAGAGAATAAATACTCATCCTAATGCAATACCTCCTAGTCATCCAGACTCGAAGGAGAACAAGCCCCAAGAGACTAGAAGACAAAAGAATGTGTCACATGAAACCCTCTTTAATGGTCACATCCAGAGCACACAGCACACACAGTGAAATGTGTTCTCTGCTTTTAACCCATCCTAGTACCAGGAGTCTAGTACTCGGCGCAGTGGGAAAGCTATGTACAGCGCACCGGGGACAATGGGAGTGAGGGGGGAAGGGGGATGCCCGGTGCCTTGCTCAAGGGCACCACGGCAGGGCATGAGGTGAACTGGGACCTCTCCAAGTAGAAGTCCACACTCCAAATAGGTCTGGTCGGGGACTTGAACCGGTGACCGTACGGCTCACAGTCCAAGCCCCTACTGACTGCCATAGATTTAGTCCCTAATTTTGCTCTCAAAGTGCACCAGATTGATGCATTTAACTTCAACATTTTAATAAAAATCTTCCCGGGGGAGCTTGCCCCCGGACCCCCCTAGAGGAGGTGAGGTCCACCACCTGCCCACACCCCCTGTTAAATTGTCTCACCCACATTGAGGATGCTTCCGACGCCCATGTTTTATTCCATGTGTCAAGTCAGGCAAATTGGGTCAAAATGTTATTGCATCAATGATCTGTTAACATTAAAATTACTAAATATATGCCGTAACTATTTTGCTCTAGGCAACTCAAGGGCTCAGGTAATGTGATTACTAGTGCTGTAGCGACGCGTCGACGACGTCGACGCGTCGATTTCAAAATATCGTCGACGACATATTTCCGCGTCGACGCGTCGCCACCATAGACTGTATGACGCCACACACACGTGGGTCACCCAAAGCAACAAGCAGTTCGCAATCGCACTTCTAACACAATGGAGACGGAAACGGCTACCAACTCCTCCTCACAGGATTGCGCACGAAGCCCTCAAACGAAAACATCTCGCCCCAGGTCTTCAAAAGCATGGGAATATTTTAAAGTTAGTCCAAAACGCAAAGATATTTATATATTTATATCTCACTGAGACTGCTGCTTGACCGGAAGCAGCAGCTAGCTGTGGTGGCAACCATTAGCAGCTAGCATTTGCTCTCCGATTTAAAATGGAATTATGGATTATAAATTCAATAATTTTTGTATACATAGACGTTAAAAACCTATGGATTAACCGATTCAGCCGCGTTTTTTCTCATTTTAATGCCATTGAACACGTATTTTGATCAGATTGACAGCTACGGCGGTGAGACGATCTCCCTAGAAGCTCTGTGAAGGTACGTGTTGTGATGACTGTATTTGCTTCCCCTGTCGCGAGTCCGGATTACTCAGTGATGATACTATGTACCTACATAATCTGTGGAGTCTCAGCTTTAATCGGATATATTGTATGTGCAGCTACGATAAATAATAAGGGTACTTTTATCTTGAGATCTGTGCCAATGTCCGTTAGCATTTTTCGCTCAGGGGTCATTTAGATGCTTCTTATGAGACTTGTGTTTTGTTTTGGTAAACATGGTTTGTATCGTCAGTTAGCTGAGATTATTTCCGTTAATCTGGTATAACACATTAATAGGTTCTTAAATATTAAGATCCCCTGAGACACAGTATCGTGAAAACATTTTTGTTTACATTACGTTTTTTTTACATTACGTTTTTTATGAATTGAACAACAGAAAAATAATCGTTCGATTAGTCGACTAATCGATCAAATAATCGCCCGATTAATCGTTTTCAAAATAATCGTTTCCCCCCAGCACTAGTGATTACTATACAGTATGAATAGTTGTCCAAAATGATTAATGTGACTAATAAAGAGCAGTTTGATTATTAAGTATTATTCTGTTGATCGGTGTCATTACATTTGGTGAAAAGCACATAATGACTTGTTTATGACTCGTTTTGTCAAAGTTTAGGACTTGGACTTGACTTGAACTTGCCCAACCTGACTTGAGACTTGACTTGGACTTGAGCGCAAAGACTTGAGACTTGACTCAGACTTGAGCGTAAAGACTTGAGACTTGACTCGGACTTGCAAAACAATGACTTGGTCCCACCTCTGGTATTTGCAATGTAATTACATACACGCTCCCCTTGACAGTGAAACGCCATGCGTGAGGTTTAGATTATTTCCCTGTCTCAATCAAAATTGAACTGTATGAAATAAAAAGGCACATCTGTCTTGTAGTAAATAAAAAGGGCGACCTGGAGCCAATCCTGCAATTTTCCCACAAGTGAAAGAGTTGACATACTGAAAACCCAACCCCTGCAGGGGGGTTTGCGGGATTCTCCCCCAGGAGATTTTTTGAAATACTAACATGAAATACACATTCTGGTACTCTCTTGAGAAGAAAAATAAATAAATCTATTACTACACGACATATTTAAAAAAAATGAATGCCTTTTTTGTTACTTTGTTCTGAAAGCTGAACCTGCTGCTCCTCACAGAGAGAAGAGGGAAGAGGCTGTGTGAATTACTTTACATTGTGGATAAGGGTGGATAGCCCCCATTGTTCTGAGTGTCAAAATGAAAGACAGCCCACACACCTATCAATCATCACACCGTGGGGTCTTATTTCATTACGTGTTGATTTCTATCAACATGTAATGTTGTATCGATGTATAGAGATGTACTACAGCAAAAGTATTCTCCGTCTGGACTTCCTGCAACAACACCACGCCATTATCTTGGTTCTGATTGGCCAGAAGACATTATCAAAGATGTTCTATTGAGAAGACAATCACTATGTGACAAAAGTTTTCAAAACCGTTTCTAGTCTTCGGTATTTCCAGACAACGAGACAAGTGGCTACTGAAATCAATCTTACTAACTGCTGTCTGTGCAATTTACTCCGCGCGAGTTGGCGGACTTTATTTTGCTTACTTTAACATCATTTTTCATGTTGGGGCTAAGCCATTTCTTGGTATGGCTGTAGCCTACCCCAGCCAAAAATAACCAACCAAAAACGATCGCCGGTTCATCTTGTTTTTGGCGTGAGAATAGTTTGGGCAGCGTGAGAGCGTGAGATTGAGAGTGAAAGCGTGTGTCACACGCCAGATGCGTGAGAGTTGGCAACCCTTTATCTGCATGTATGTGTAGGTATTGCTTTTATTATGATAATAGGCTAAGCCAGGTAGTATTGTGTGACTCAAGTGTACAATGTAAATAGGATTCAGATGCTTGTTGCATCGGGACACCTGGAAGGGGGTGGTGCATGCATTCCTTTTAGTATGATAATAGGCTTAGCCAGACAGAATGAACACTTGTCCCACCACCCTATCTATTCCTTCAGGTAATCTGCTACAATATAATAAGCATATATTATTGATACATATTTATTAATTACTTTTTCCATTTCAGAATGCCACCAGCAAAGAGATGTCCTCGATTCAGTGTGCAGGATGTGATTGCTGCCATCCAACACGGAGAAAGTGATTTTGAGATGGAATCAGAGGACAGTGACACTGCTACGAGTGAAGAAGAGGCAGTTGAAGATGTCTGTGGACAAGTGGACAAAGTAAACCAACAACCCAATGACCGCCCAGTCAGTGATTATGTGGACATCGAGCCCCAACCACATAAACACACCCATGACATGACAGGTATCGCTGGCTGAAAAAAGATTTTATCAGTCCCAATACTGATTTTGCTGGTCCAGATATCACAGAGAATGTCATTTCCCTCCACACACCACTGGAGTACTTCCAGAAGTTTGTGTCAGAAGGCATGATTCAGGCTTTGGTAACCAACACAAATGAGTACAGCTTTCAAAAGAATGAAACATCCATCAACACAAATAAAAAGGAAATTGAGAAACTGATTGGCATGTACCTGAAGATGGGCCTAGTACAAATGTCTGGAGTCCGTATGTATTGGGAGACAGACACACGGTATTCCCCTGTTTCTGATGTGATGGCACGCAACAGATTCCAATATCTGTTGACATTGTTACATTTTGTAAACAACTTGACAGTGTCAGAGATGGAAAAGAAAGACAAACTCTGGAAAGTCAGACCCTGGCTTGATACATTCAGAGAGAAATGCCTGCAGGTGGTACCAGAAGAACACAACTCTGTGGGTGAGATGGTGATTCCTTTCAAGGGGAAATTCAGTAGCATTAAGCAATACATGCGAGGCAAGCCAAACCCATGGGGATTCAAAGTGTGGGTGAGAACTGGAGTCTCTGGCATGATCTGTGACTTTGATGTGTACCAAGGCAGTGTCAATGGGATACGAGCCAAGTCTGAACTTGGATTGTCAGGTGATGTTGTGATGAAGCTTGCCTCCACGCTTCCAGAAGGTCAGAACTACAAGGTCTACGCAGACAACTACTTCACCTGTGTCCCATTGGTAGTGAAGCTCCTTGATCGTGGGATTCATTACGTGGGAACAGCCAGGCAGGTGCGCTTACCCAACTGTAACCTTGAAGACGAGAAGAGCTTGAAGAAAAAAGGGTGAGGAAGCTTTGACATCCGAGTGGAGACCAACCACAACATCTGTGCTGTCAAATGGTATGACAGCAGAGCGGCCCCTATGCAGAAAATTCCACGCTGGGACAAAGCCAACAAAACCTACATAGAAGTTGAGAGGCCTTACATTGTGGGTACTTACAACAAGTACACGGGAGGTGTGGATTTGTTGGACTCATTTACGGCCAAATACAAGTTCCCCATGAAATCCTGACGCTGGTACGTGTACATCTTCTGGCACACCATCATCCTTGCTGTGATCAACGCCTGGCTCCTCTACAAGCGGGACTGCAGCGCTCTAAAGATGGAGCTGGAGATCCTGAACAGGAGACAGTTTCAGGCAGATCTAGCATCCTCTCTCATCCTGGTAAGAATGCATTTCTGCTATTTGCCATTTGAAAAATATATATATATTTCACTGTAATATTTTTGACATGTATCTAAATTGATTCTGTTCTAATCAGGTGAACACAACTCCTCTGAAAACACCCAAGAGAGGACAACCATCTTCAGGCAACGGGAGCCCAGCACCGACGGTGACATCAAGGAGCCCGTTGAATGCTCAGAAGAGACCATCCTCAGGTGATGGGAGTCCACCAAGCTGGGCCCCATCCAAGAGATCACAGCCTCCACTGGATGTACGCAAGGACCTAGTGGCACATTTTCCAGTGAAGACAAAGAGAGGACGCTGCAGACACTGCAGTAAAGGGTACACAAACACCCAATGCAGCAAGTGTGACGTCCGTCTGTGTTTTTCTGACGACAGGAACTGTCTTTGGGACTACCATTGCATTATTATTGAATAAATGACTATTCATAAAAAATATGACTGATGTGTGATTATTATTCATGATATATACTGATATGGGGCTAAGTAAGCAATCAATCCTGCAAATTAACCCTTAGTTGTTCAATACATTTATTCAGACAATATTGGCACGTTTCCACTGCAGCGGGTAGCTCGCTTTAAGCGTGCCGAGCCGTGCGGGGCCCGTTTTTGGTTGCGTTTCCACTTGGCCTAGTACCGGCTAGCGGGTCCTAATTCACAATTTTTCTGGCCCCATAAAATTGTGGTTCTAGGGCCAGGAACAACCAGGCTGAGTCGGGCTGAGTATGCTAAACTAGAGAGAGAATCGCTGGCAAGGGGGCTACAACTACAACAAGATGAACATATTTGACCGTGATTTAATTGTAATACACGTTTCAAAAATGATGCCGAATTAACAACATACTGATACCGGATAGTAAAAACCATGAATTAATGCTTTGACAAGTCTGCAGACAGACGGCAGGCGAAAAACCCTTTTAAAATGCGTGTTTTCTAAATGGAGCTTGGCTAAGCTAACGTTATATATGCTCCGACCGTCCACGCTCACAGCAACGGCCTATACAGACATAAATAAACCAGCGACTGTATTCTCCATGACACAGGCAGTCTGTGGTTTGTACTTGTTTAACTTTTGTCTAGTTTCTGAACAGATATGAAGAGCTGTGAGCTCCAGAGGTTGCGCTAGACTTTTTCGCTGCCCGTCATTTTGACGGACAGGATCGTAAAACTTCCGTCAAAATCCAGAATTACCCATCGGCCTTTACACAACTCTGGGGGGGGGGAAGCTTCACAGTTCACATGCGCCGTGTTATGCATGGCTGCTGCACCTCGCGGGAGCGTGCACAGCGTAAAGCCAAAACTCACAGACATTTCAATGATTTGTACGGCAAAGTTAGGTTTGGAAACGGTATAATTTCCTTTTTGGAGGGCATGCATAACACGGCAGAACACCGGAGCCTCGCTGCGGGGAAACTTTGGCGCTGTTCCGAATTTGTTCTAACCAGTCAAAATGACGGACTGCTTTCAGATTTGTCCGTCATTGTTAAAAAAAATCCGTCATAGACGGAAAATATTCGGTTAACCTTTGGTGAGCTCTGAGTGCTAAGAGCTAACGGCTGTGTTGTTTTTCTGGGGCGCTCATTGAAGATGACGTCACGGCTCCGCCTACACTGCGTTACTATAGTAACTACCCCAGTTCCTAAACTGTAATGGAAGCGCAGCATTAAAGTGAGCCGGGCCTAATAAGGCCTAACCAAACCGAGCGAGGCCTGCAGTGGAAACGCGCCATATGAGTAGAAATACAGAAAAATGCAATATTACAACATTTCCCTAAAAACTCTTTCATTTCTGCACCAGAGGCTCCCTACAACAACATATGAAAGGCCAAAAAAATGTGCTAATGTTTTTCTATGTGTGCTTTACAGGGTTTTAAGTGTCAGGGACCATTTTAGAATCATGTATATGGGATGACATGATAATGATTATTAATTAATAAATGTGTTCATCACAGCTGGTAAGTGTGGAGCTCATTCAAATAATTAATTTACTGTTGCTGGATATTTCAACATATTGTTTTAAGTCAATCTTCATGTATTAGTTGATTTATATTTAGTTTTACCTAATAAGCAGAATTTGTATAGTAACCAAAGTTGTCAGATAAATCCCAAACCACTCCCTACCCCTCCGTGATGGAGTGAACTCCGTCTGTAACCACACTCGCAGCTCAACGAGGCTCCCTCCTGTCAGAGGTAGGGAGTAAATACAGCAGCTCAAAGCTCTTTTAGTTTTAAACCTGATGTTTATAAGCTTCTTAGTTTTTGCAACGGTCTGTAAATATACACAACTTTATAATAAAATGCACACATTTACCTTTTTCTAGACTAAACACAGGTATGATCCTAAGTTAAACACATATGAGGTCATCATGAGGTTGTTCCGTTGTTAACATCGTAGTTTATCAGTGGATGTTTGCTGGAACTACTTTTTAGCAGCTTGTTTCCCGACGGACACACACAGCGTGACTCCGGTCAGGTAGAGACTGGTCTCAAGTCAGCACCGCTGCAGTCTCGCTGTTTGAGGGCTTGATAGCCCACTCCCCCTCCACACCGCTCCACACTCGTTGCTTTGGAACAGCCCTTAATATGGCGGACCCTCCGCATGAACGCGCAAACGGAGGGGTAGGGTGTAGGGGTAGGGTGTAGGGGGCGGTTTGGAAATGGGCCTAAATCAGTTGTCCCTCCCCCTGGTGCCAGGACCAACAGATCCATCTTTAGGCTCCGCAGCCCTGTGGCCCATAAGGCTTTGCAGTCTTGCCATGCTGTCCATTGAAAGCCAGTTGGCTAGAAAGCTGGACTTCAAGGACTTGATCAGTGACTTTGCCTGTAAGAAGGCTAGGCGCTGGGCTCTTGGTGAGTAAGGCTGAGCCAGGGCTCGTAATAACTGTTAAAGGGCCCAAGGCTATGGTACGATATTGGATCACTACACAGAAGATGCATGATGAGAAAAAGACTGAGAACTGGTAATAGAGAACCGCAGTGACGCATCCTAAAACTCGGATGTAAACTCCTTCCGGTTCCTTCGTCAAAAACGCAATGCAATTTCTCCATAGGATTTTGGAAAATAGCTGGAAATAAGGTCTGTGGTTGAAACACATTGAAGAGACTGATCACGTTTTGTTCAGCCGGATAATATCCACATGTCTATCCTACTTTTATAATTTTCGAAGCATCAATCTAGTCGCAAGAAGCAAAATGCTAACGTTATGCTATAAAGGAACTACAGCAGGGTCGCTGCTTCAACGTCACGCCAACTTAAGATCCATATTCAAACATACATATTGTAAATGGTACAAGTTGAAGTGTTTGTTTGAACAGTTTGCAGGAGGCAGGTACTTGCTTTCAAGCAGAACAGGGCAAACAAACTTAGCGGGAGTGTTTTACGTGTTCGGTGTAATGACGTAAAATGGCCTCAACAACTTCTGTAGTCCTATTCAGCCACATGTTAACAACCATCGTTTTTTAGACACGTAAACTCTTCAAAAATCACCAGCGGGGTCAGTGCTGATGTATTTAATGTCGTAGAACAAAACGTGATCTGTCTCTTCAGTTTGAGTCAAACACAGACCTTATTTGGAGCTATTTTCCAAAATCCTATGGAGAAATTGCATTGCTTTTTATCGAAGGAACCGGACGTGGTAAAAATGCTAACTTACTTACGGGTTTTAGGATGCGTCACTGTGGTTCTCTATAGGCTCTGATTTAGCACCACCATCAGGCCTTTTCATTTCCATTTCCGTTTTGTTGTCCATTTACACTTTAACACCCGCTTATTTTGTAGTTGGTACAGAGGCGCGGGAAGGTATTTTGAGTGGGAACACTATTACGGGCACTATAGAGCACGCACAAAAGCAATCCCCACACGCAAACACACAGTGCACCCGCGACTGTTACAATGAAGGCTCGATAATCAGCTCACGGCATATAGGCAGGGGTAAAGTGCTATTTTTTTTACGAGTGGGGAGCGGACCTCACCTCCTCTAGGGGGATCCTCACCTCCTCTAGGGGGGGTCCTCACCTCCTCTAGGATGCTCCCCCGGGAAGATTTTTTTTAAATATTGAAATTGAAAGCATCAATCTGGTGCACTTTGAGAGCAACATTAAGAGATCTATGGATACATCTCTCAACACCCAGATGAAACACAACTGTAAGCAGATGTTCTTTTTCTTTATGGATATTTTACAAATCACTCCCCTTTCAAACTGTATTCTTTTTTTACTGCCATATAGTATTTCATAACTGTTTTTCCTTTATTCTCTTATTTTTTTTATAACGATAATGATCATATGAAAGTGTGCCGCGGAAATAATCTTTTGAATAATTTGTGACCAAACCGTTTGAGACCCACTGAGATAACTTAGACTAAAGTGAACTATCTAAACACTTAGAGAGTCCTTTAGCTCACTTGAGCCTCTCAGTCTGAGAGGAGAGCTCCCCTCCAGCTTGTTGTGGAACAAACAGCTCCGTATGTCCGTTAGTGCAGCTATAGCTAACCCAGGGGTTCCCAAACGTTGCCATGCCAAGGACCCCCATATAGCATTATCCTCTGGCAGGGACCCCCCTGTTGCAATTTTTTTTAATGATGTGTACATTATGATGGCAAATGTAATAAATTAAACATACAGCTTCTTAATAAATATTCGTAATATATTTTACATACTATTCAACAGTAATATTAATAGTTAACATGTACAGTATGTTTTGTTTGTTTTGCCATTTATTCATTACATTCAGTGTGTCTTCAGTTATAAACAGTCCTTGTCATTTCACTATGTGTGTCTCTTTGTGTATACCTGTTCCCTCACTAGTGGGAGGGGTGGGCTTGGTGGCTCCTACACAGTTTATCAATCCTAGGTTTTAGGTTTGTCAGTGCCAGACGAATGTCATTGTCCACTTACAAACGTGATCTGTGCTTTGTATTCAATACCTTCAATGTAGAAAAGCCAGACTCGCAGACGTATGTGGTGGCAAATGGAAGCAGGGATTTAAGAGCTCTCTCAGCCAGTGCAGGATAGTCTTTTTTGACATAAAGCCAGTACTGTGGGAGTGAAACAGCTTGAAATGTCACCTTCAACTCCCATTCATTCGCCATGTCTATGAGTCTCTCTTGGGACATAAGATCCATACTCTCACCTACTCCTGGGGAAAATGGGTTTCTTATCCAGTTTTGATTTGAGTTGTCTTCCAGGTCAGGGAAATATTCTTTGAAATATCCCTGCAGGTGTGCTAGGTGCAGTGGTGAAATGGTGCCTGGATCAGCACCGGATGACAGAAGCGCTTGGTGAAGCTGTGGGAACATTTCTGTCACTCCCTCCTTGAGTTTGGTCGACCACAGGGCGATTTTCTTTGTAAAAGCCTGTACTTTGTACATGTAATATGTACGTCTCGCGCCCCTGCATGCTCTTATTCAGGACATTTAGATGCTGGAATATGTCCGAC